CTGATAATAGAGACTACAAAGTAAGTAAATCTCAGAAACATACACAAAACAGAGTTATTCTGAAAGGTGCTATTCACCTATAATCTTTGAGGCTGATTTTTGGGAAAAATAGGGAAAAAGAGAAAGCTCTCAGCAAAATGCTACAATAAAGCTAAGCCTGAGAATTTTAATAAAAATTGAAATTCTTAACTTTAAAATTCATTCATTAAGTGCCCCACTTTATTAGCCATTAAGGAAGTGCAAATTAAAAAGTGCAATACTAATACCCACCTACCAGAGTGGCTAAAATGAAAAAAATAATTCCACATGTTGACAAGGTTGTAGAAGAGCTAGAATCTCATACATTGCTTGTAGGAGTGTAAATTGGTATTATTGTTTACTTAATTTACCATTACCAAAACTGTTTGGCAGTTTCTACTGAAATTGAACATACATACAAGTGTTCTTCAAAAAGTTCATGGAAAGATTTATATTATCTCTTAATTCTATTTTTCCATGAATTTTCTGCAGTACCCTTGTACACCTTATGATCAAGCAGTTTCACTCCTAAGTCGATATCCGACAGAAAGGCATCTATACGTTGAACAAAATATATGCAAAAGAATGCTATTGCAACACTGTTGCTAATTTACTCCAGTGCTCCCTGGGGATGGGGGAGACGGGGGTGAATAGTAACTGGAAGGTTCTCAGGAGGGGTACTTCTGGGGAGTGATCATGTTCTATTCCTTGATGCTGGTATTGTTTATGAAAATTAGTTAGGGCTGACCAGTTAGCTCAGTTGGTTAGAATGTGGTGTTATAATACCAAGGTCAAGGGTTCGGATCTTCATACAGACCAGCTGCCAAAGAAAAGTTATTTGGGCTCTTTTTCTCTATATGTATATTATGTAATTCATTTTCTATTATTTGCTATCCTATAAGAATCTCTAGAAGCAATACTAGTGTACACAAGGAGAACCCCATAAAAAATGTAATTTAGACCTTCATTTCCCATTGTGACTGATGAATATAAAACCACATTTGCATATGCTGTATAACTTTAACATACTTGTCAGAACTCCTCAGTGCTGCACAAGGGAGGTCAGGTATTACTGTAGTAACCACCTGTCCTAGCTGACACCTATTCCTCCAGCAAAGTTATTAACAGCCTCCTTGTTCATTGTAAAGTACCCTGATTTAATGATAAATTATATGGTTATTACTTAACAGAAGAGGAAACAAGAATCCCTGAGGTTAGACTTGCCTAATATTACTCATTAGTGGGTAGTATTGCTCAGGATTCAATGCCATAACTGGTGTGGGTATCACTGACACTACCTTAGGGTCCCCAGAAACAAAACTAGACACAAACTGACTGAAGCTTTTCACTCTGCCCTGATCCTTCGGGCTTAGGATCCCACAGCTCAAACCTCAGCCCTCTGGTTTGTGGAAGGTGTTAACCGTGATTGTTAAGAGGGTTGCTTTGACTCTTCAGAGTGGTACTGACTTCTAGCTTCTGCCCACTGTGACTCTGGCCTCATCTCCAGTTCTTAGATTGTCCTCTGGGTCTCAGCCCTGTTTTCTGGACCCTTTGTCCCTTAAGGGCCTAGTCTTCTGAGATGTGCCACTGTGCATTCTTTATCAGTCCTAGCCCTCAGCCTACATGTATATCCTTGAATATTTGCCATAGTTCACTATTGATACATAAAAATTTTCGGTCTCCACAGGGAAACGAGAAGGATTTGATTAAAAAGAAATTGTATCTGGGACAAAACTCTGTAAAATATTATTATATCAAAAAGTTTTTAAGTACACATGAAAAAGACAAAGGAAAAAACCATAAACCAAAATGACAACTATTGGGTGCGTTAATGTGGTGGATTAGGGGGATTTTTGTCCCCGTACGTCTAATATTTTTCTAATACTCATATTACTTTTATAATAAATATGAATAGATTTTAAGCACTGAGTTTACAAATATAATCTCTTACTTGGTAGGAACAAAGGTTACTTTTGATTTTAAACCTTATCTGAGAGCCTCCTATAAATTATCTTCAATGTCTCTAAGGTTACATATTATTGCCTGCCTTTTCACTTATAACTTGGGTCCTTTCTCGGAGCAGCATGCAATTACAGACTGTCCCTTACTTAACGATAGTTCAACTCCAATTTTTCAACTTTATGATGGTGTTAAAGTGATATGTGTCCAGTAGAAACCATACTTCGAATATCTGTTCGCTATTGTTTTTCACTTCAGTACAGTATTCAATAAATTACATGAGATATTTAACACTTTATTATAAGATAGGCTTTGTGTTAGATGATTTTTCCCAACTTTAAGCTAATGTAAGTGCTCTGAGCACATTTAAGGTCAACTAAGTTAGGCTAGGCTGTGATGTTCAGGAGGTTAGGTATATTAAGTGCATTTTTGACTAACAATAGTTTCAGCTTAAAATAGGTTTACCAGGACATAACCCCATTGTAATTCAAGGAGCGTGTGTGCTTAAATATAGGAGCCTCAGCAAAGTACAAAGTATCTGCACTAGCTTTTAAAAACTATTCTTAAGGGGATGTATATATAATTGAGATTTTATTATTGTCAGTTATCCTAATTCTTTTATTCAAAAGTATCTACTGCAAAATCATAAAAGTGGTACAAAAATGATTTCGAAAAGCTGAAACTATTTAATGTGTTTCTTTTCTTTTTTAATAGCTTCCAACAATGGTAACCAAGACATGTCAGCCTGGTTCAATCTATTTGCAGACTTGGATCCACTTTCAAACCCAGATGCTATTGGACACTCGGATGATGAACTTCTTAATGCTTGACTGAAGTTATGTCATTTGAACAGACTTGAGACATCAATTTTGCAACACACTGCCTTTGTGGAAAGGAGTTTATTATCGTAATCTGCACACCAAAGCATGGTGTTTGTGAATATACCACCTGTCAGCCAACTTTTAGACAGATGGTAAGGACCACATTTGAATAGATAAAGTAAATCTTTTTTTTTTTTTCCTTTTTTGTCTTTTTTCGTGTCCGGCAACGGATCGCAACCCTCAGTGTCGTGCCCATACCGGACCGGGACTGGCAACGGGATCGCAACCCTCGGTGTTGCTCCCACACCTCGCTCAGCCAGTGAGCGGGAACCGGTCTGTATGTGGGATCCGAACCCTCGGCGGGAGCGCCACCGCGCTCCCAAGTGGCGCACTGTAGCAGTGCGCCACCGGGCCGGCCCTAAAGTACATCTTTAATATCTTGGATTTGTAGCTGTTGATACAATGTGGAAAATATTAGAAACTGAGTCTGCAATATTTAGATACCAAAATTTATGTCAAAATAACATCTAGAAATAATTGTGTCAATAAGGAGTTAGGCTTATTCTACAGAAAGCCTTGTATGTTTAAGTTCCTTTGCTGGCTGTAAGAATTCTATATGTGGATAAAGGACAGCATGTAAATTGGGTTGTAGTTTGGGGTTGGTTAGTTTTTAAATCAAAAAGTGGCAGAGGGGATTCTCTGTTGTGGAAAATAGCACTAGAGCCAGACCAGCTCTGTCTTTGGTCAGAAATGTAGAATAAGATTTGAGAACAGAATTTGTTTAAGGAAATCAGAGAACCTTGGTACTTATTTTTCTCTATTTGGAG